AAAAAAAAAAAAAAAAAAATGTCAGCACTCCTGCGAAAAAGACCCTTAATTGTTGGCTTAAATTGAGTTTGAAAGCGTTGGCAGTGGTACCCCACTCTCCATGTGCCACCTATTTTTCTCTTGCCTCAACGCTCCAAATTCTAAAACACACAAAGAATCCCCTCGACTCGTAAAAATCACGCTTTTTTTAAAAGCTTCAACACTAATAAGTAATAACTCATGGCCTCCCCCTTTTGTTTTCCTTGTCTCTTTCCTCCATCCCCGCCGTTTCATTCTCTCAATCTTCATTACCCATTTCTCTTTCCATCATTCCCGGCATAAACCCTACTCCAAAAAGCATCAAAGATCGCAGCTTTCCTCTCAATTCCCCGTTTCTGCTCAAGAAGCATGAAGAAACCGTATCTGGGTTCTCTTCTTTTCCTCTTTTTTCTCCTCTCTTTCATTTTCCATGTCCACTCTCAGTCCACCCCCGATGCGGCAGCCATGCAGGCACTCAAGTCCAGCCTCAAAATTCCATCTTCACTTGACTGGTCTGACTCCAACCCTTGTAATTGGGCAGGGGTTCAGTGTCCTTCCGGTACTAATCGGGTCACCCGGATCCAAATACCCGGCAAGAACGTCGCAGGAACCCTGCCGCCTGATCTCAAGAACCTCTCTGCTTTGATAGTTTTCGAGGTCATGAACAATCAGCTCACCGGAGCCATCCCGAGTCTCGCGGGTCTGAGCTCATTGCAGGAAGCCTATTTTCACGACAACGATTTCACCTCATTCCCTGCTGATTTCTTCACGGGATTGACTTCTTTACAGACTGTGGTGCTTGATTACAACCCCTTTGCGCCTTGGGAGATTCCGTCCAGTCTCAAGGAGGCCACCGCCTTGCAGAGTTTTTCCGCTGTCAGAGCTAATCTCACTGGGACGATCCCGGACATCTTTGGCTCCGGTACTTTTTCTAACCTGATTCAATTGCATTTGTCCTTCAACCAGCTTGAGGGAGGACTGCCGGCTTCCTTCGCGGGTTCCATGATTCAGTCTTTGTGGCTAAATGGGATGAACCTCAACGGTTCAATTCAAGTCTTGCAGAACATGACTTCTTTAACTGAGGTATGGTTGCATGGAAACCAATTTGCCGGTCCCTTGCCAGATTTTTCGCAGTTAACCCAGTTGGCGAATTTGAGTTTGAGGGATAACCAGTTTACTGGTGTTGTACCTATGTCTTTGGTTGATTTACAGTCCCTCTATGTTGTCAATTTGACAAATAATTTGCTTCAAGGCCCTACCCCTAAGTTTGCCGCTCCCTTTGTTGATAATGCTGGTACTAATAGTTTCTGCTTGAGTGATCCTGGTGCTAGTTGTGATAAGCGCGTTAATATATTGTTATCTATTGTGGAAGCTGTGAGTTACCCTGCTACTTTAGCTGCAAATTGGAAAGGGAATGATCCCTGTAGTTCATGGAGGGGGATCACGTGCAATTCTAATGGGAACATAACAGCAGTTAATTTTAAGAACTTAGGGCTCTCCGGTACGATTTCTTCTAATTTCTCAATGCTTACTTCATTGACAACTTTGGATCTCTCCAATAATAATCTCACTGGCACAATACCATCCGAGCTCACAAACCTGGCTAGTCTCAGTAAGCTGGATGTTTCAAACAACAATCTTTATGGTAAAGTACCAACATTCAAGCAAAATCTGGATGTCATAACTGCCGGGAACCCAAACATAGGAAAAAATGCTCCCCCACCTCCTGCTTCTCCTGGCACACCTGATAGTACCGGTGGAGGTAGTCCTGCTAGTAGCCAAAAGAAATCACAAACAGCAAAGGTTGTGGGTTCTGTGGTAGGTGCTATTTGTGGATTGGGTCTTGTTGGAATTGGCATCTGCATGTATGCTAGAAAACGAAAGCACTCAAGTAAGGTACAAAGCCCTAATACTGTGGTGATACATCCCCGTCATTCTGGTGATCAAGAACAGGTTAAGATTACTGTTGCTAGTTCCAGTGTTAATGGTGGTGGAAGCGAAACTTACAGCCAAGTAAGTAGTAGTGGACCTAGTGATATTCATGTGGTTGAGGCTGGAAATATGGTCATATCAATTCAAGTTTTGAGGAGTGTCACCAATAATTTTAGTGAGGAAAATATTTTGGGACGAGGTGGCTTTGGTACGGTCTACAAAGGAGAATTGCATGATGGGACAAAGATTGCTGTGAAAAGAATGGAGTCAAGTATTGTGAATGACAAGGGTTTGGCAGAGTTTAAGTCTGAGATTGCAGTTCTTACTAAGGTTCGTCACCGTAATTTAGTCGCTCTTCTTGGATATTGTCTGGATGGAAATGAGAAGCTTCTAGTGTATGAGTACATGCCCCAAGGCACTCTTAGTCTTCATCTATTCAACTGGAAGCAGGAACGTTTGAAACCACTTGAGTGGACCAGACGGCTTACAATTGCCTTGGATGTGGCTCGAGGGGTTGAATACCTACATGGTCTGGCACATCAAAGCTTCATACATCGTGATCTCAAGCCATCCAATATTCTTCTTGGAGATGATATGCGTGCCAAAGTAGCAGATTTTGGCTTGGTTCGTCTAGCTCCAGATGGTGGAAAACATTCATTTGAAACAAGGCTTGCAGGGACTTTTGGGTATTTGGCTCCAGAATATGCAGGTAACCTCCTTTAAGATTTTCTATATTTTCTGATTCAAATTCAAATATCATGCCATCAGTTCAATTGCTGGAAACTGGAAAGGCTTGGGTTTACTTTGCTTACATCGAAGCATCATTCTAATTAGATTCAGATACAAGTGAAACAGGTAATGGGGCTTTCATTTCTTCTTTTTTATTCTTTTCATGCATCACCCCATCCCCATCATGAATTCCTCTCGCCTTCTCTTTATCTTCCCTTAAAAATTCACTTTCTTCTATTTAGCATAGAGACAGATAATACCATTCAACATAAATGTTGGCATGCAAAATAGTCGAACTCCCATAAAGTGATGTGAATGGGAAAGATGTGAACTGTCTACAAGCATGTGGTTGGCTAAGGGTTAGGCAACCAGTTGGTGTAAGGAAAGCCTTGAAGAATCCACCATTAAGCTCTTGTGTTGGAAGAATTAGGTATTTGGGATAGAATAGAAGTTTCAGAAGGATTTGGAATGCTGTGAAGTGTATGGTAACCAAACTATTGTAGCAACAAGAAAGAAGTAGAAAGGAGAGAAAAAGAGAAAAAGGTCAAGAATGCAATAGAACCTCACTTCTCAGAATCACTCTTTAATTTTTTAAACTCAAAACCTACTGAATTGCTTAAGTACAAGAGAATATTTATAAAAAGAAAATATTAGTTCTAACAAAATTAGATCATATGAATTTGATAACAAAATCAAATATAAGACTCATTAACTAAATATTAGTTTAGGCTGCTGGATGCAAAGAACATGTTGCCATGAACAATAATCTAGAAAGAATATAACTGACTATTACAGGTTCAATATATGATTGCAAGGTACCTTTACTACTTAACTAAATAACCAATTGTCAGGTTGACGAAATTCATCGTTTGGGAAACAGTTGGAAGGGATAGATCATAGATGTTTGTGGACTAGGAATAATTGTTCATTCTTAATCAATTTGAAATTACACACACATAAGCCTATTTATTTATCTACTTCCTTAGTCTGTGACTAACTGATTTGTGCATGCCAACTTAGATATATTTTTACCTAGATTTTCTAGCATTTTCTAAACTATTCCTTACCAGACTTACATCAGCTGGAAGTTCCATTGATCCTAGAAATGCCTTAATGCTAACCATATATGATTATATTTGACCTTTGGCTATGACTTAAATTGTTGCTTAGCAATCATATGTGAAATTGGTATGAATTTATGACCTTGAATATTGACAGTTACTGGACGAGTGACTACGAAGGTGGACGTGTTTAGCTTTGGTGTAATCCTCATGGAATTGATCACTGGCAGAAAGGCACTTGATGATACCCAGTCAGAGGATAGTGTACACCTTGTGACATGGTTCCGTAGGATGTACATTAACAAGGATACATTCCGAAAGGCCATAGACCAGACCATTGAACTTGATGAGGGGACACTTAGCAGTGTATGCACAGTGGCTGAGCTTGCTGGTCATTGTTCCGCAAGAGAGCCTACCCAGAGGCCAGACATGAGTCATGTAGTCAATGTGTTGTCATCGCTAGCTGATGCCTGGAAACCAACAGAACTTGATTCTGATGACCTGTATGGAATTGACTTTGACATGACCTTACCACAAGCATTGAAAAAGTGGCAATCTATTGAGGGAGATAGCAATATAGAAGATTCTTCTTCATTCTTTGGTAGCACGGAAAACACCCAGACCAGCATACCTACCCGGCCGTCTGATTTTGCCGTTTCATTCAGCACGGAGGATGGGCGGTAAGAGCAGACAAAAGAAAGAGGATGAAGTTAGTTTGGCTGTTCATTGATGGTTCTTAGAGATCTAGCTTGTTCATTCCATCTGCATGTTTCTTCTTCTAAGGATTGCTCTGTTGCCATATTTACCTAAAGGGAGGAAGTACCTCCCATTATCTCTGTATCTTCAACAGCTTTATTTTATCTCTCTTATGTTTTGGCAGCTTTTGATGAAATACAATCAAGAACAGATGTTTAATATATATTTCTTTGGGAATTTTTTTGAAAATGGATAGGCTTCTCTAGTTATGGATAGAAATGAGCCAAGCCAACGCCAAATATTTTCTCAAGTTTGAGCTAGATTTGTTTAAGAGTTTAAATCCATACTTCAGTTAAAATTTGATCCTAAGTTCATTCATTTTCCTGGATTGAGTTTCGCTTGTTAAATAAAATGTAGTCAATTTTTATGGTGCATTGTGAGTTTGTTGCACTCGACACTGCATGAGTTTGATCATCATTAATCCAAATCGAAGTTTTTGGTTAAGTTGGAATTTAACTCCGATTATGTTAGTATTAAATGTAAGTGCAAACCATCATAAATCAAGGTTTTATAGTTTTTAATTCTAGTTTGATTAAACATTTTGTTGGTTGGTGGGATTCAAATATGCTTATGCTCATGCTCAAGCATGAGTCTGTGTTTTATGAAGGCGAACTACCACTTCTTGCTCAACCAGGACTCTTTTTAAGGCATGCATGTGAAACTTCAACTCTCACGTCATTCATTTAATTATCATAATGTTTTAGCAAGTCAACCATACAAACTAATTAAATCTCCTCCAACCTAAAAGCAACGAGTTTTTAAAAACCCTGGTGGCATAGGAGCTGCATTCTCTTAATTCGCATGCATGTTGTAGAACAAGTTGTTATTATTCCATCATAGCTACTATAACTTAGAATTTATTATACATTATTAGGTAAAAAGTTATTTCATCTTTTTTATTTTATTTTTAACATCAAAACTACATAAAATATTTTAATTGAATGATTGATTAAACTAAAGTTAATTTTGATTATAATACATATTAATGGTAAAAAGTTGCTTTAAGAACATATTAAAAGATTTGTTATGTAAATATTAACAAGTTTTTAAAAGCCTTGGTACTAATAGCATGCATCAAATTGTCATATTACCTTCTCAATGTTTAATTAACATGTTTGTTACCTACTTAAATGTAGACCCTTCTCTTTAGTTGGTGGCAATGGCATGCATCACCCTGTCCTAAAGCAGGCCAAAGCTGCATTATCTGCTTACAAATTTTTTGCCTTTTCTATTTTAAAAAATATCTTACTCCCACCATGACTAAGAGATTAATGTATTATATTATTAATAAATTTGTGAGCAGGGTAGGAGTAATATTTTATTAAAAACATAAAGAAATTTTTAATTTTTATTTTAATAACATTTAAATTAAAGATGTATTTATTATATTATTTTATAATTAATTTATTTTAAAAATAAAAAAATAATTTTAATTTTATCAATTATTTAATTAAAAAATATTTATAATATTAATAATAAAATAAAATAAATTTTTATAAAATTAAATATAAAAAATACAATTAATATATTCATAAATAAATCCAAAAACAAAAGTCAAGAATTCATTTGTAGTACTAAAATATCAGAGCAGAGAGTTGCAGAACAGCTCATCCCGAGGACGGCACGAATGTCTGATTCTCCTGTTTGCTACGTGTCATGTTTGGTTGAGGTGCCTTTTTCTTTCTGCCACGTGTGAGACAGGGACTGGTTGATCGGTGTTCTAGGTTTATGGCTGCCAGCTGGATTTGTAGAATATTCTCCAAACTCAAGACAGTGACGAACTGACGACTGCATGTCTTAATCTTCTTCGAATTAGTAGCATTTTCATATTCTGTTACTAATGGTCAACATCGATTAGTTTTATTTTGATTTCCACCAAATAAGCCGAAATTTAGGCTAAAGGCAAAATGCTGTTTGCATGTTCCGTGCCATTCTTTGGTTGGTTGCGCCATGGAAACTTTTCCCTCTGCCGTAGACAAAATGGCACCCTAGATTTTAAGGGCATTGTTTGCAGCGACGAATAAGCAGTGTGATAATACAAAAACTTTTGTCCAATCTTAATGTTTCTCGTGTATGGTGGACCTAATGGATTGGATAATTGTTTTTCCATTATTTATCTAAGCCTTAGCTCATCATTTGATAAGATGTGTCACGTTTGAAACGTGGTTATGATTATTTAATATTTGTTGATAAGAGTAATGGTTAAAAAATTAGTATGAATTAATTGTTAGTAATTGGTTTTTAAACAGGTGAACATTCTACCCCTTCAAATGAGGTGTGCGGTCATTAGGTCGTTTTTTGGTGGAGTTCACGACGGTGGTAGAGCTCAAAATTCCGACCACCTCACTCAAGCACTTAAGGTTTGAGGTCGAATTATTGGGCCTAAAGACCTGGTTCGATTATTTAATATTGTGTTAACTTTTTGTAATTTTTTAAAATAATTAAATGAAAATTTAAAAATATATTAATCTTGATAAATAAATGAATAAAATCATATTCTTAATTAAAAAAATCTTTGAAAGGTTTGTATTACCAAATCTCTAACATCGACCGCACCAAAATCCATCTTCTTCGATAATAGTTGAAACATATCTTCTTCTTGCCCTTCTAATTCCCTGTTCCGGATGCTTCTTCTTTTTCTTCTCCAACCTTTTCCTATATTCTCCCTTCCCTTCCTCGATTTCCATCAATTTCCATATCTGGTTTGAAGACTCAAACTAGATCAATAAAATGCAAGAACAAAATAATAGGACAATAATTGGGAACAGCACGTTGATTGCCTTTGCAGTTCTAGGGTTTGGAGCAAATCACGCTTTGATTTTTCTAACTATTTGATTCTAACGGAATTTAAAAGATCATAGAAAAATTGGCTGGATTTTTTTAGCACACTTTATTCACCATGCATGACAACATTCATGACGCATCCGTCTTACTTTCTTTTTAATTTGATTCCCACTCAACTGCTCTTCTTCATCAACCCATAATTAAATAATTGATCAGTAATGAACATTAATAAAAAGTAGCTAGATGAGCACATTGCTCATGGTCGGCTGTAAAATGATATTGTTTTAATTATATAATTAAACAAACTCTTCCAATATATTTATATACGTATATATAAGATTAAACAAATTGATAGCTAGATTTTTACAGCACAATTCTTTTTGAATAATAAATAATAAATTATATAATAAGATATAATTTTCATTTTTCAAGTTATTCTTTATACATTTTAAAATTTAAATTTAAGATTTTTAATATGAAAGTTTTAAGTTACTAATCATTGAGATGTTCAGATCTTCTAGCACAATTCTTTAATTCATTTAATTGCACCCATCTTCCAACATTTTGTTCTCTTTAATTGGAATGAGTTAGCAAATTTATAGTTCTTATTAAATAGACTATATATTTTATAATTACGGATGGAAAAAAAGTATATCAAGAAACCACCTCTTATTAATGATAACAAAATGTGCAAATAGATCACTTAATTTACTAAATTAGAATGGCAAAATCTTATATTAGGCCCTTAAATTTATCCCAAAATTTTGGTTAAGTCCTTAAATTTTTATTAAAACAAATAAACCCCTAAACTTAGCAACTTGAGCAATTTAACCCTTCTTAATTATGGTAGATTTAACGTCAATTGGTGTATTATTTGTATAGATAAGATATTAATATATCATTATTTACATAGCATGTATTAACCTTATTTATACAAGTAGAACAAAAATGAGTATTAAGTCTATCATAAATAAAAGAGTTAAATTGTTTAGATCAATAAATTTTAAGATTTATTTATTTTATTAAAATTTAAAATTTTAATCAATAGTTTATAATAAATTTAAAAGCTTTAGGTAGGTTTTGCTAATTAGGGTTGAGTACTACTCCCTTTATTCAATTTATTGGACATTTTAAAAATGTGCACGAAATTTAATAAAATTAATTAATTACTCTTAAATTTAGAGATTTTTAAGATTAAAATATTATTATACCCTCTCAAAATTGGGTAGTTAAAGAGGAGAGAGGAATTAATAAAAAAAATCAGTGAAGGTAAATTTAAAACAAAAAAATTAATGCAATCTTGATTTATTAAAACGTTAATTATTTAGGAACAATTTTTTCTCTCCAAAACAACTAAGGTTAAACCCCTATTTTGGTCCCTGAACTATTGTACGGACCCTCGATTTGGTCCCTAAACTAAAAAAATCCCTAATTTGGTTCTTGAATTATTGTATGGACCCTGAGTTGATCCCTAAACTATTGTACGGACTCCCAAGTTAATCCCTAAACTATTGTACGGATACCCAATTTGGTTCCTACTATTTACTAATTTAACCCCAACTTGGTCCTTCTGTTAAATAATAGCTCAGGGACCAAATTGGGGCAAAATTGTAAACAGTAAGGACCAAATTGGGGGTTCGTACAATAGTTTAAGGACCAAGTTAGGCCAAATTATAAACAGTGGGGACCAAATCAGGGGTCCGTATAATAGTTTAAGGACTAAATCAGGGATTTCTTTAGTTCAGGGACTAAACCGGAGGTCCATATAATAGTTCAGGGACTAAAATGGGGATTTAACCTTTAACTAATATAGTGGAGCAGAGAGAGCAACGTAGTGATGCCAACTGGATTGCAAAAATCTTCCATTTTTCTTCTTATATTTTTTGGGTAATGCACTTCCCCATGTAATTAACTGCTGGTTAGGATAAAATTCAGCGTTGAACTGTAACTCGTGGTCAAATCATGGTCCAGTGCCACAGCTATTGACAGCTGTCGTTCTCTCTAACCAAATTGTAAGCTTCAACAGCAAGACACCCCAATGATATCCAAAATCAAAGTTGAAATCTCAATAACATTTACACCTGTTGTGGAATTCCTTTTATTACATATTTTATTTAGATACCAACAAAAAATGATGGATTAGAACTTACAAAATGTTGAAGTTGAAATGCTGGGGGGTACGTGGGGATGATACTTCTGGTCCTTGTTAATCTCAGGGGCCTGCTTAGCAGCTTGGTTATAAGCTCTTTTTTTTTTTCTATTTCACAAATTTAAAAATGTATTGTTTGGAGAGCACTTTGAACGTCAGAAAAACAACCTCACTAAAAGTAAATTATCTTTTAGCAACGGCACTGTTACTGAGGGTCTATAATTTGTCGTTATAGACCCTATGTATCCGTCAGTGTATCACCCTTTGCTGATGGACGCCTATGACCGTCCATATAGGCCCCATGTTGTTCCCACTGCTGTTCTTTCAAAGATTTTCAAACTCTTGACAAAAGGGAGCTTATAAACACAGGTAAAAAAAAAGGTGCTTGAAAAAAAAAAACACAGAGAAAAGGCTCTATCAAACACCTCATATTCCTTATTATCCGGAAATCTAGTTGAAATTAAATTGGAAATGATTTTTTGACATTTAATTTTTAAACTATTGCTTACAATGTAACATGGCAGGTCTATGTGACACTCATACCAACTTGTTATAATTTGGTTTTAATCTTTGACAACAAAAATTTATTATAAATCTTACCATACGTGCATAATATTAGACAATTAAATATATACATATAATATTACACATGTCTTCCGAAATTAAAAGAGCCAATAAATATTGAGGATTGAATTATAATAAGGTAACATGGCAAACATGTGGATATGCAAATGTCACGGTCTAAGCAATAATTGTAAGAAATTATTGTTAAAAAATTATTTCCAAAATTAAATTGCAAAGGAAGATGACTTGTACATACTGCTTCCTTATGGGCTGAAGCTCACAAATATATACACCTCACTTTTCTACTAACCCCTATTGTGAAATGTTGGGCCTCACAATCTTCCCAACCTAAATCTTAGATATTTTTATCAAGCGCAAATTACAATTTTAAATTGGAGTCAAAACCCATAAGCATAGGACCTAATTAAAAACGGTGTGAGGTCCATGGTACGGCGATGACCCAAGTAGTGCGCGGTCCAATTTGCTACTTCTTGTTTCGTTTGTACTTTTGGACTGCAAAGTAACGAAATATTGATTAATTTGAAAAAAAAATTTATAATTATTTTTATTTATAAAATTTAAACTTAATAATTTATTTAAAGAGAATAAAATTTCTTCGAATCGAACTGACATATTGTTGTTACTGCTACTAATATCTTGTTTTTGTTTTCAGAACATCTTCTTATGCACAAGAATTTATCTGTATTTCATGCAATGGAAAGAAACATATATTAAAAAAGGTGTTCTGCAACCGTAAATTGTGTCAAATTATACAATATTTTTCATTAAATAAAAAATAAACATTTTAATATTGTGCCTATTTTTGTATTTAATAATTTTTATTTTATAATTTAATATATTTTAGATAGTAAAATAATTGACTCTTTTGATTGATATAGACCGGGCTTAGCTCAATAAGCACAGGCCGAGTGGGGTTAAGAAGAGAATGTGGAGTGGCCCAACTATAAAATATCATAAGCCATTGTACTCGGAGGGTGACTTATCCAAGAGCGGCGAACCCTAGGACTCTTCACCTTGCAACGCAACTGGGCTCTTCTTAGTTCTTGCTACTTAGGTACTCTATGTTTCGTCTCCATGCATCTGAATTTCTTTTCTTTTAAAAAAAAAAAAAATTTTCTGTAAGTTAAATGAATTCAATTTACTCTGTAACGTTGGTGATGTTCAGCTATTCTAGTTGGGTTTGTTAAAAAATCTTCTTTCCGTTTCAACTTTCACTGTTTAGCTAAGTATTCTCAGTTTTTTTTTTTTTTTTAATCTTTCGAATATGTGTAAACATATATATATATATATATATTGTTGTTTTGCTTCTAAAAAGCATTAATTAGGGAGTTAGATTAGTCTAGCAATCTTTAAGATATTGCAAGGAGTTTAAATAAAATTTTTTTATTCGCTTAAAAAGTAATAGGGTATATTTGTTTAAGTCTCTTGGTTCAAATGTGCTGATTTTTGTCTCATTTTTATCACGCTTGATGGTGGATATTGGTTTGGTTTATGTTTTTGTGAGGATAGATTGCCTTTTTCTGCCTGCAATTTTTTTTTTTTTTTCCTAACATAACACTGATGACTTTGCTTATAATCTTCTTCGCAGAAGTAACCCTGTCTTCTGTCGCAATGGCAGTGACATTCTATGACCTTGGCTCTGACGCTGGCCTGAAGAAGCTTGATGAGTACCTCCTAACTCGAAGTTATATTTCTGGGTAAATTCTTATGAATGCAGTTTTGTTGTTGTTGGCTTTTGCTGTGGAGGGTCCTTAATTGAAATGGATTAACTTATTATTTGTTTCTTCCTGCTCAGATACCAAGCTTCAAAGGATGACATTACTGTCTATTCATCTCTCCCCAAGCCTCCATCCCCCCAGTATGTGAATGTTTCTCGTTGGTACAACCATATCGATGCACTGTTGAGGATTGCGCGTAAGTTGTTTTGACTCTGTATGGTTTTGTTCTTCTTTGTGGAAGTAAAATATAGAGGTGCTATCCCCTAAATAATATTCTTCTATTTCACCTAACGAACTATTTCCTTATTTCCAGAGGGGTTTCTGCTGAAGGGTGTGGTGTTATTGTAGAGGGATCTGCTCCCGTCGCTGAGGCTGTTGCCACTCCTCCAGTTGAGGACTCGAAGGCAAGTACTTGTTCTCCTTCCTCTGGTAGCTTAAATTGACTTGTTTTCTTAAGATGATTGGCGTCTATCTAGTGGGTTTTACTCAATTCCTTACCCCTGCTTGTTTGTTATATTATTCCTTGGAACTTGCTTTTTGTATTTAAATTAATTGAATGTCATGGGAATTGTAGGCTGCAGCTGCCGATGATGATGATGATGATGATGATGATGATGTAGATTTATTTGGCGAAGAGACTGAAGAGGAAAAGAAGGCTGCAGAAGAACGTGCGGCTGCCATGAAAGCAAATGCAAAGAAGAAAGAATGTGAGAACATCATCCTTTCTTATCTATATGATCTTGTGGCTGATGGGGGACAGAACATTATTATTCCCACATGGTTATTTTGATGGTTTACTATTTTCTCCGCGCCTTTGTTTTAAAATATGTGTTTTTCCTTTTCTGTTTATAATTTTCAGCTGGCAAGTCATCAGTTTTGTTGGATGTCAAACCATGGGATGATGAGACCGACATGAAGAAACTTGAGGAAGCAGTAAGAGGTGTCCAGATGGAGGGGCTTCTTTGGGGAGCTTGTAAGTTCTGACAAGTAGAACTAAGAAAAAAAAAAGAACAGAAGTTAAACCCATTTCAAACAAGTTGGTAATATTGGGCCAAAAAAGAAAAACAAGTAGGTAGTAAATTAATTTGACCAGACAAAAAGACTTATTATATGCATCATGTCAGTTGAATTATCATCATATGTTATTAAGTCATCTTTGAACCTTATATGTACAGCATGAATTCACACAGAATGTAATAAGTATTAAAAAATAAATCTTTTGATGCATTTGGTTATGCATTATAATGACAATTAAACTGGATTCAAAGGCATGCATGCAATTCTCATCTTTATCATCGTAAAGCCCTTGGAAGAGTACTTTTGATTGAATCGTTTTTAAAATATTGTCTTTATTCTGATGAGTGGGGCTTTGATATTATTTTTCTATTTCATTTTCAAATGTTTGGGAGCAAGAAATGGATCTAATCTGTTTTCTGTAATCCTCAAACGTATCCACTACTATGCATGTATAATTTCGACGTACAACATTATTGATATTGTTGCCAGCTAAACTTGTAGCTGTTGGGTATGGTATAAAGAAGTTGCAGATAATGATGACCATTGTGGATGACTTGGTGTCTGTTGACACTCTTATTGAGGAACATCTCACAGTAGAACCTATAAATGAATATGTTCAAAGTTGTGACATTGTGGCCTTCAACAAAATATGTAAGTAAACAAAGCACTTTTTTTTTTTTTTTAATTGTTTATGAGAGTAAACAAATGGACAGTGTGTTGTAAATTCTGCTCATGTTGCGTTTTTCATGTTGCTTGCAGGATGAGAATTTGTGGCTATTTGCGATGCACTTAGGAGAGGATTTTGGAAAAAGTCTTATTGGGTGTTGTTGCCTGATGATAAGATTTTATGTTTACCATTTTCTTGTTCTGTGCAATTTGTTTCAAGAGTTAGTTTGTTCCGATGGGAAACAAGTTAGTTTGTTCCGATGGTGGATCAGTCGCAGTGTTTAAATTAATATATTATGGTTATAGGAGAATCTTTTTAAAAACTCACTTTTTAATTAATATATTTAAAAATCAATATTAAATTTAATTTTATGTTTATATAGACCATGAATGTTAATTTTTAAATTGATTTAAAATAAAAATTTTATTTATTGATATATATATTTATCATTGTTAAATTTTTTGTAATTAATGAATTGTTTAAGTATATTAGATGAATATGAAAATTAATATACATGAATTACATTGATAAAACACTTAAATAAATAAGAGTAGTTGATTTGTAAAAGTATAATTAAAATATAACATTTTTTATGATGTCTTTTAAGAGAAAGCCCCATTTATACATATATATATATATAACTTTTATCCATATTTATTTATTTTTATTATGAATGGTTAAAGTTTATTTATTTATTTATTTTTTATCATATTTCTAAAAAAAATTGTCTTTCTAGTCTAAGAACCCAAAAACAGAAAAAGTAAGAGAAACGACTTTGCGCGAATTTGGACTAGGGGTTGGAGTGCTCCCACTCATACCTCACCACAACAGCAAGTCTCGTGTTTTTTTTATCATATTCACTCACTTTATTTCTTGTGTTTTTTTATCATATTCACTCACTTTATTTCTTGAGAATTAAAAAGAATATTTTAAAATTATTTAAAATTATATCATTTAAATATTAAATATTATAAAAAAACACAAAAAATAATTTACCTCATACTTTAAAAATAAATTATTATAATATTTTTCAAATAGAATTTATTAAAAATAAACTCTTTATACTAACTTGATAACAATTAACAAGTCTTGAGAAATCCTTGTGGAGCAAGTGGTTACTTATATGTTGTAAAGCATAAATTCATATACTAGTAATAAGTGTGACGTTCGAGTATCATTTTTTTTTTTAAAATCTTAAATTTACCCAGAAAAAAAGAAATTAAAAATCAACAGAAGACGACCCGACCCAAATCCAAACCCAAAACAAAACGTCCGAAGAAAGAAAAAGAAGAAAAGAAACGACTCGGAAGTATCTCTCTGCTCCCTCACCCGCACAACACAAACACAACACAACAGCAGATCTCTTGAAACCCTATTCCTCTCATCTTCTTCTTCTTCTTTTTCCCTTTATGCCATGAAATTTCCTCTTTCTGCACACTCTAGGGTTTTCTCAAGCCTCCCCGCCTTCATTTCCTAGGGTTTTCTGGTAGAAACTAGAACCATGTCTCTTCCTCCCATAGAGTGTGTTTACATCACGGAGGAATTCCTTCGCGACTTCAAAAATGGAAACTCCACCGTCTCCCTCCCATCCCCTCTCCCCATGCTTCGCTTCCTCTACGAGTTTTGCTGGGCTACGGTATGATTTTGATTTCTTTGTGCGTCTTATTTATTTATTTATTTATTTTAGGTTTTCTGTTGAATTTCGAGTGTGTTTCGCTGTTAGGTTCGGGGTGAATTGCCGTTGCAGAAGTGCAAAGCTTTGCTGGACGGATTGCAGTTTTCGGATAGAGAGGAGTTGAGCTCGGTTTTTGCTGATATTATTACGCAAATGGCTCAGGATGTTAGTTCCTTTATTCACTTTAATCTCTTGTTTTTGGTGTTACTTATTTTTCTGGGTAAAGGAAAATTTGGAGGAAAGTTGCGCTTTTTTTTTTTTTTTTTGAAAATCTTCTTCCTACAGACTTTATTACTATGTGCATTTCCACTTTGATTGCATCTTAACTTTTCCTGATTAGCATGACGGATTCTGAGTTTTGACTTAATTTGCAGCTTACAATGCCTGGAGAATACCGTGCTCGGTTGATAAAGTTGGTCAGTATATTATCTACCATAATTTATTATTATTAGTATCACTGTTATTATTGTTGTTGTTGTTGTTTCACATTTTTAAGGGTCATCTTCTATTGTGGGAATTTAGGGCTAAAATTCATAACAGGGTTGTGTTTACTGGCTGGTATATTTGCTGGATATGTAGAATTAAATAGTAGATGGATTCTTATGGTATATGGCTTTCTATGAGAACTCATGCCTAAACTTATTTAAATTAGCAAATTATCGTTACAATAAAAAGAACCCAAACTACTTTTCTTGTAAAATTGGGACCCTTGAAATAGATTTAACAGGGTTCTTTAGTTTCACTTTTTCTCTGATAGTGTCTCGTTACATATTACCTATTATTAGAATAAAACATGCTTGAACATTTCAAAACCATATGGACTTTCCAGAGACACCTTGTGTGAAAGTGTAAAAGATTTTAAAGATTATAAAAAACTTTTTTTTAGTATGTTCAGCTTTTAGCAGTGACCAAGATTCACATTGCAATTGCTGTCAGTTTTTGCATAATGATGCATTATGTGTTAAGCTTTTTTTGATAACTGAGTTGTATCATTGTTTCCTTATAATTTTCTTTTGGCTAATTGGTTCTTTCTCGACTTTCATTTTAGGCAAAATGGTTGGTGGAGTCTTCATTAGTTCCATTGAGGCTTTTCCAAGAGCGTTGTGAGGTGACTTCCTCTATCTTGTTATGCTGATGTCATTTGGTCATTGATTTTTCTATATTGTTTCTATTGATGCCTTACTTTTATGGGAGTGGAAAAATACCTTAATACTTGTGTTACTTGCTTTGTAGGAAGAGTTCTTGTGGGAGGCTGAAATGATTAAAATCAAAGCTCAAGATTTGAAGGGTAAAGAGGTAAGTGGATATAACTTTTTCTCTTAAATATGTTTTGGATGTTCAGTTCTAGGATTTTTATGACTGAAATTAAACTTTTACATATAACGAGTTACATTTAAGACACAATATATTTGCTTTATCTGGATAAAAATCATGCTGATGAGCATTTGTAGGAATTTATGTGGTGGCATGCGTAACTGGTAAAATGGGATAACCGTGGTAGTAGTGATGATAGCGCCTTGCATTTGGTTTAAGCCCAATAGCTCTTGGTGTTTATTGAGTGATGTATTCTGTTGATTCCAGGTCAGGGTAAATACTCGTCTTTTGTATCAGCAAACGAAATTTAACTTACTTCGAGAAGAGAGTGAGGGCTATGCTAAACTGGTATGTCTACTTTCTGATGCATTATTTCAAAATTTTGAGTATGTTACTTAAGCAGTAATTTTTTCATGTGTCCACTTCATAAGATTTTTCCTTTAACTTTTGACATTTATATATTATTATTTGAGATGGTTGTTTTTCTTGCTCCAATATCTGCTTCATGCTTGTATACAATGTAGAGGGTTATTGGAAGCAGCCACCCTTCATGTCTGTGTTTCATTTCATAGATATGCCGTTGCAGTTTCAAAAGTTGTTCTAATCTTCCAAAAAGTGGTACACAATGGTGGGCATTTGGCCACTGCCCAGCGCTTATGCGGTGCCTAGGCACGGACTAAGCACTCTAGGTGGTTTCCCTTTCTTGCAAAAAATGCCAAAATTAATTGAAAAATCTAAAAAATAAGAGAAACGCCTAGTTTCACTGCCTAGGGCCTAGGTGAAGTGGCAGAGAGTGCCACCTAGTGCCTAAGCTGTGCCTAGGTGTGCCTTTTGCAACACTTGTCCTCTGGCTTTCGTGCTTTGTTATTTAACTTTTTGGTTAAATGAATAGGTGAGATTTCAGTCTGCAAGGGACATAGGAAAGGGAGGGATAACTGATACATAGGGTTTGATTGAGAACCATTCTCTGAGAAGAGTTCCGGACTCAATTATTGACGTGAACCAAGTATGCAGTTCACTTGCAAATTAGATAATTGTAAGCTATAAATTTCTAGCTTTTGGTCTTCAGATTTCTTTTAATTCTTGTTCAACCTTTTATCCAGGACTCCAGTTAGAACATAACTACCTTGAACCTCCTGTAAATAGAACATGGTAAAATACTAATTATGACGCTGACACATTATTTTTCAATTGAGGATTATGGTTTTTGGAGGTTCATTTAAACCTGTCAAGAGTAATGCTGTGAAGAGATTGAGCCGTTGATGTCAAAGTTTTGTGATTGTCAAACATTAATGCTCTCTCCCTAGTTGACACCAAGCAAAATCTAACCAAAACCACCAATGGAAAGATGCCGAACCAACCTGCCACCATCACCACTAAAGAAAAGTTGATTGTCAATAAGAATTCCATAAATCTTGAATTTCTTTTCTGTATCAATCATGAGGGAGGGGATCAGATTAGATTTTGCAGAGAATAAGTGAGCCAAGTGAGGATAGATTTAGAACAAGAAAAGGATTGCCTCTCAAGGAAAAAGTGCAAAGCCAAGGTAATATTAGAATTGCACTGTTTAAGGTGAAGTATTTTTTCTCACTTGTCTCACTGTGTGTGATGAGGTTAGCATCTAATCAGCAGTTTAAACCAGTTTGCTGCCAATTTCTTTGGTTAGAGGGAATTTGGATCTGCCTTTCATTGCTTACGTTAAATGTGTTCTAAGTCCTTGCAAGAAAGGGTTTCATTGGGTTCTGATGATACCTTTTCCCCAATCCTGATTATTGCTCTACAGTTCCTAAAGGATACCTTTGCTTCTATCCATATAAATTCCAAGACAAATCTTCTTCACGTAAAACCTGCTCCAGTAGAAGAATTATATTTTCTGCTTTCATTTAAATTCATTGTTTCAATTCTAGTTTCAATAACAGAAGTTGATAATTGATCTAATGTTTCTCTATTATTTTGCATGTGGAATACTGGAATACCTTTTAAACTTGCTTTTCTTGAGTAGATTATTATTTAGTTTTTTGTGTTTATGTACCTGCTTCTTGTTGTTCAGTCACAGCAAATTTCTTGTTTGAGAGTAGTGGCTATAAATATGGATATGGCAATGACCTGAATGGAATGATCGTAATCTGGATATTATCTTTATTATTATTTTTTTATATTGTCCTCTACTAAATTCCAGTTTGGATTGGGTTGATGGGAGCATTGGAGTATGTTCTTTATTGTGGAAAATTTTTAGGTTCTTGTTCAAGTCCTTACTTTATTCAGCACCTGTAGGTCACTCTTCTATGTCGAGGTTCTGAAGATGCAAATAAAA